AATGGGCTCCCTCATGTGGAGGGAATACCCAACACAAAAGGTATGCAAAATATGTTTATATGAGCTGATGAGATTTTGAAGATGATTGATGTTTAGCAAGGGCGGTATTCAGAGAGCACTGATGCTCTTAATTTACACTGTACTTTTTATCACACCGTAAGAGTTTTCTGTCTTAATTGTTTCGGAGATTCTTGTTTAGAGGATATTTTGTATGATGGAAAAAATTACTGGACAATAATCAATAATTAGCTTGCACCGAACGATTTGATTCCTAATTAATTAGTTTACGCTGGTTGAAAATAAAAAAAACTAAAGCATATATCTTAACATTATGGTGTAGATACCAAATCTTCAAGGGACGCAGAACGGCTTCTCCATGTTACACATGCAACTTGAGAAAATGATCCAAGGATATTATTTGATAGCCTAGCTACAACAGACTTGAACTGCATTTGGCATATGAGCAATGGAGGCAAAAGGAAAGGAATGCTTACTGTTGCTACTTTCCAATACAAGGATTACGTTTAATTTTCCTTTTTTTTCTTTCGTTGCAAACTATTTCTTTCCATGAAAATCGATATGAATTTCTCTGTATATTGTCCATTGATATCATGGGAAAATATATAATACAGTGACTAACTTAGATCCTAAATTGGAGCCTATATACTCTAAATGCCATTCACTAATTAGGAAGCAAATCAGTAGTGATTATCAACATTGTTGATTATCAAAATTATAAGGATATTCCAGATTTTGTGCGATTGATTGACTCTACATTCCTTTACACTTTCCTCTCAAAAGAGTGGATAAATTTTTATTTTACTTAATCCTATTGATCATCGTTTAGTCCAACATACAATAAGTATATTTTGTTTATGTAATATTAAACACGACTAGACACTATGACGAACATAACTTTTTTTCCCCTTCCTTATTATTATCGCATCTTATTGAATCAAATTTAGCGTTGTATAAAGAGGTAGATGCATTGAGATTCTATTTTGTACAAATGCATAATGGCCCTATCCTCAACTTTCTCTATATATAGAACTATTCCACTTTTTGATTACATAAAGAATGATGAAAATGCGTACATTCGCGAATTAATTCTTTAACTTCGTATTTTAGAGTATAACAATATTTCTTTTAAAAAAATACTTAATAATTCTCTTTATTTAATTTTTTAAACATTAGTATTTTGACAGTGCATATAATGTGTATTTTGTGAGATCATATAATATCGATTATTCTATAATTACACCCAATATCACTTATGAAGCTGACTTTAAACTTTGTTTTGTTGCACGATATAGAATTACCATGTTCTATTAGCTTATGGTATAATTTAATATATTTCAAATTTGGATTGTATAAATTAATATATTGTACCATAATATGTTTTGTGCTAAATTTGGATAGTATAATTTAATATATTTCAAATTAATATATAATGGGTCTTGTGTTATATCGGATTGGAAATAGACCTAACATATGAACAAAAAGTAATTAAGATGTTACAAACTGTGATCAGCACGAGACCCGAATCGTACGGCGAACAATTTGTTCGCTTTGTGGTCAGATCTCATCTCTCAACACGCGTACAATTTTCCTAGGTTTCACTAGTCAGTCTTATATTAGGTGACTGTTACTCCACAGCCCTCGCGCCTCCCTTACATTACCTATTTGTATAAATACAATCCACATGCCAAAAAAAAAAAAAAACTTTCCATTTTTCTCTCTATTTTCACACAAACAAGAAACTGCAGCCATTACTTTGTCTAACAAACTTCCATATTAATTTAATTCATTCTTTATTTATACTCATTACAGGGAAGGGAAAAACAGAGAAAAGTAGGGTTTGATTTTTTCACATACAAAACAATATAATAAAATATGAGTGGTTATGGTTTTTATCAGAGAGCATCAAGGGCTTATCAGAGCCATCCTCATCTGTATAAACTGCTTGTTATCTGCACTGTCAGGTTTGAATCTCGACTTTTCGTACGTTTCGAAATGTATTTTCATTAATTTCCACTATGCATAATATTCAATTGATTTAGATAAGAGTTTCTTTGCTGTGCATTATATGGATCACAGAATCCAGTGAGTGGATGAAAATTTTGACAATTTTCGTACTTTTTTGTTGTCACAATTGTTGCAATTGTATTGAATTACATATTCTAAAATCTTAAATTGTTAATTGTATTCACATGTTTATTATTTCAAAAATTTTGTTTTCTGTCACATCTCTCAAGTGTAAGTCATATTATATACATGTAGCATAATTAAATTATCAATAATGTTACATGTATAGATAAATTTGCTAGATGACAAGTTTTCATTAGAGTTGAACAAAAATAAAAGTTAAAATAGCTAATAAGGTGCTTTCATCTCAACACCTATAAATTACCCCGTACAATTCATCTCGATAAACAACTTTATTTTTAGACTATTGAATAATGCTACTTGTACATAATAAAGTTATATAATGATTTACATGCAGATAATGTCTCAAAAGGAGAGTAGAGAATTATTTATTTATTTATTTTATTTGGTAGAAGAAATTCTTATCTAATTATATCTCATCAGTATATAAACCATTATATAAGTCATTATATATATGCAATACAACCGTAGATTATTTTTCCAATACCATGACATGAGCCAATCTGTCGCCAACTCAAATTTGCTAGTAGTCAATTTCCAAGGATTTTTTTGACAACCCTATGCTTTCGAGCCACTCTCAAAAATTTTAAAAAAACCATATTAATATATAATATTAGAAATTTTTGAAGTTAAACCCCAATTGGTTTTCCTAAAATAAACATCAAGTCTTGGTAAATTTGCAATATAATATCATTAAGGATATCATTAAATTGGTTTTAAAAATTCTCTTTAGATTTTTATCATAGCAAAGATTCTAGAGATATCAATTCTAGCAAGTTTTTGAATACAAATAAATGCCACGAACCATTTGAGACTTTAACCTTTCTAAAGGTGCTGATTTTTCATTTTGTCCTAAAAAATAAAAGAAAGAAGTGAAGGATTAGGTTCTATAAATTTTAACTTTAAAAAAGTTATTTTATCAATTCGTGCATCTTTCGTTTTTGTGCCTAGAAGCCTCTTAATTGTATAGATTAGTTACGTTGTTTAGCTTGTTTGTGTCATTTTCTTGTGGTCGAGTGTCCTCACACGTGTATTTATTTATTGAGGTTATTGGACTTAGACTTAAACCCTCCTAGATGATGCTTTATTATAATTGACTAAAATAAAAACGTACCCATTCAACTTTCACAATCTTGTTAAATGATAAAATCCACACCGAATAAAGATGAAAACATAAACCAACTTATAAGGATATTTGCTACTTTTTCTTAATAATTTTGACCTTTTGAAATTGAACCCTAAGTCTTTATAAATCACCCGTTTGTGAACATTCCCGGAATCGCTAATAATTCATTACAAAGAATATTACATCTGTTGTTTTATTTTGTGACGTAAATATGCAGTGGTGGAGGCCTCCTAGGACTCTCTGATGGCAGAACTGCACATGCTGATGCAGATCATGGTGATATTAATAAGAAGAAGAAGAAAGTGGTAGTTCTTGGAACTGGTTGGGCTGGCACCAGTTTTCTTAAAAATCTGAAAGATCCTGGATATGATGTTCAGGTGGTGTCACCAAGAAACTATTTTGCTTTCACTCCTTTGTTACCAAGTGTCACCAATGGAACGGTTGAAGCACGCAGTATTGTGGAGCCGATTCGTAATATTGTTAGAAAGGTACTTATTTAAATTTACTGCTTGTGTGTAGTGATCGGTGTTCTCCCGCATTATTAATAAGATAAGGCTTGATTTGATAATTTATAAGCATTCAATACCTTCCTCGGTTTTTAAGGACTTGTATAAATTCTCCCTCATGACAAAATAATATAAATTCTCCCTCATGACAAAATAATTGTCAAAAAAGCATTAATTAGTCATTCAATGTTTAAAATGCATTCTTATTTATATGCAGCAAATTTTTTTATGTTAAAATATTTAAATTTACCATTTCTTTACTATCAACGAAGATTTAAAGGTAAATAAAGAAGAAAATTTTTCAAGAAAGAAAAAATCGGGGAAGAAAAATAATAGACCAGTAGAAATGTAGACATTCTGCCAAAAAAGGTAAATATTGATGTTGAGGAGTATTTTCAAAGTTAAGATGAATTAGGCTCGTCGCATAAAGCAATGGAGGCAAATTCTAAGCTTTGCATTTTCTATGTTTGATCGTGACTACAAAATCTGCAGTTATTTGATCCAAAGTTTCCGTATTTTTTTTGATATGTGCTTCTATTCTTTTATTTTGGGAGAGCAATTTTTTTGTTGCCTCTTTCAGTGTTAATGATTTTCATCATTCTTTTAATATTTATGTTGTCAATCATTTTTTTCTTTGTTGGCTAGACATAATTCAGTACTTGGTAGTTTAAGGTTTTATTTGTTGAATTACATGTATATATGTTGAAGGATCACTCTTGTTTTTTCTTTGACAGAAAAAGTTCAATGTTCAATTCAAGGAAGCCGAGTGTCACAAAATTGACACTCAAAACAAAAAAGTATACTGCCGATCAATCCAAGACAACAATTTGGGCGTCAGTGAAGAATTTAGTGTAGAATACGACTATCTGGTGATAGCCATGGGTGCTCGTGTAAACACATTCAATACCCCTGGTGTTGTGGAGCATGCACATTTTTTGAAGGTAACACACAGTCAAGAAACTAGAGATGATTTAATTTGGATTCAGTAACTCATTTTTTATATGTAATACTGGGTCCACCTATGCCACCGAGATGGGATGCATCCGGTTGTCCACTTACTTTCAGTTCTCAACTTACTCTTTTGTAAACCCAAGCGTGAATCATAATTGATGGTTGATATATAGAAGCCTTCCCAATAAGAAGAAGATGGCAAAAGAAGAGAAGGTGGGAAATGGCTTCGATAGGGATAGGCATTGAGTAGATACTTAGGCACCCAAAGATGAGGAAAGGCGTAGTAATTGATGAAATAGGGAAACCTTTGGAATTGTGCAGAATCTATGGGAAGGCGAAAGAGACTCAGGGACCGATTGTGTTTCGGGTGGTGGGTGCTAAACATTGAGCGCAAAGAAAAATAAATGGTAGTGGGTAGGAATGCTCTGCAGATTTTATATATTTATATTATTCTATGTCTGTATTATTCTTTAATTGCTTATGTTTTTACTTGTTTAAAGTGGAAAAGAATTGACATTTTGTAGGAGATAGAAGATGCACAAAGGATCCGCAGAACAGTAATAGACTGTTTTGAAAGGGCTTGTCTCCCCACAGTAAGTGAAGAGGAAAGGAAAAGAATCCTGCATTTTGTTATTGTTGGAGGAGGTCCAACGGGAGTTGAGTTTGCAGCGGAGCTTCATGACTTTGTGATTGATGATCTAGCCAAACTCTATCCTACTTTGAAGGACTATGTGAAAATCACACTGCTTGAGGCTACAGATCATATTCTAAATATGTAATAAGATACTCAAATTAATCCTTCCAGTGCTACCGCATTTTGCTTAAGTATTTCTTCTTCTCTTAGAGAAATAATTGACAATTTTTAAATATCTGCAGGTTTGATAAAAGAATTACTGTTTTTGCTGAAGAAAAATTCCGGAGGGATGGAATTGACTTGAAAACTGGATCAATGGTTACAAAGGTTTCTGATAAAGAAATATCTATTAAAGAGACAGCCACTGGCCAAAATGTATCAATTCCATATGGGATGGTTGTCTGGTCAACCGGTATTGGGACTCGCCCGGTTATAACGGATTTCATGAAGCAAATCGGTCAGGTTTGTTTCTTCAAATAATTTCTCCCAATTCTAAACTTTCATGAAAATCTGTTATTTTCGGACCGGTTTCAAATCATCTTCACTTTTGTCACTTGGAGAGCAGACAAACAGGCGAGTTTTAGCAACTGATGAATGGTTGCGGGTGGAAAAATGTGATAGCATCTATGCGCTAGGTGATTGTGCTACAATAAATCAACGCAAAGTCCTGGTATACATTTTTCAAATCTATCCATACGATTTCAGATATCTTTGAATTCGAGTTCTCATTTATATGAATGCGCATATTCTGCAATTTTGATATATTCATTATTTATGTTCACTAATGATACGGCTATTACACTGAATAAGATAACAGCAATTTGTTAGGAAATCCTCATCCTAACGTACTTTAAACTGAACCAACAGTGTCAATTTCTTATTCTTTATGTCAATAGAATACCAGTTGCTTGAATGTGTTTAAGCTTGAGTTTGCTGCAGAAAAAATTCATAAGACAATAGGCTTTGTTGGGAAATTTCACACCAATT